GCAGCTATACGCATGTATATATGTTCTAAACCGTTTGTTTACATGCAAGAAATGTTGCCTGATTTTGGCTAGAGGGGGCGCAACCTCTGTATCGGCTCGGAGCGAATAGACGGGGGAAAAAAATATTGACTTGCAATACGCGAGAAAAAACAAAATCTCATTGAGCGTATTTTGAATGGTGGCTATACAACGAGACGTGATGCAATTAATCATCCAACTAAGAGACTGTAAATTTCCTTCATAAATTTTATCATCTCGCTGAAAAATTTGTAAAAGTTATTTATATAAAATTTTACCTTAAAACGATTACATTTTTTTTTTTTACAAGAATCAAATCAAGTATTTTACTGGATACAAAAACTGTCCGAGAAAGCGTTAGGATATATACTTTTAGAGTTCATTAAACCATGGGACGGGACGTACAGTAACGAGGTCAAGATAGAGTTTTCAATTAAAGTGAAATTATTGTTAAATAAAAACTCCTCTAAACTCGGAATCGCTGTACTGACCCAGTAAACCGAGTATGATCCAGTTTCATTGCTATTTATAACATACACGGAGAAACGAACGCTCCCTTTCTTTTGTCTATCCCTTGCACTTCCGTATTTTTTTTTTTTTTTTTTTTTCTTATTGCATTGCTTCGATCTCAACTCCGATATACCTCGAACATTTTTATCCAGCAACTATTGCAATAAATGATTAAAAAAAAAAAATTTCATTACCTTCTATCCTTTTGGTCACGCATTTTTCCATACGTCGAAAACAAAAGGGAGTATTATTATGTCCGATGTAAGTATGCTAATGCAACTCATAAAGTGGTCTAAATAGGATGTCGCCGCTCGTCAGCGGCAATAGAGATGAGGTCAAAAGCCATACCCGACCCTACAAGCACTGCTCGCTCGTATCGGCAGAGAAACTGCAACTACTGGACATACACGTGTATATATATAGGCGATGCATAATTTGTCACGATGATTCCTCGCGTGAACCTTCTCATTCGTGATCTCTGGCTGGTGCACTATATATATACTTCCACTGCAACGGCAGCAAGTGCAACTCGATGAAAGGGCGTTGTACTTTTGTTTCATTGAACCGACGTGGTGGTGTGATTTTTTGTAAAGCCTTACTCACGTACAACCTGACGTTAACCGGATTATATAACTCCAGCTGGTGGATTATACACGTTACCTCGAGCGAAAGATGCTGTTTTTTTTTGCGCTTCGACGTTTTCTTATCTACGCGTTTTATACGTAAATAGACTCTTATCGCGATGATAAACGCGAATAAAAAATCAATTTGAAAAAAAAAAAGAAAACTCGTACAAGCGCAAATAGTGCAAACACTTTTCACTTTGACCATTAAATGATACAAGCAACAAAAACTGGATCAAAGTAGTTGTTGAAAATAATAATCATACACAGTGTAAGGATATTCTTAAAAAAAAAAAAGTATATTCAAAGTTGTTATTTCCAAGAAAAAGCTACAACTAGACCAAACAACGCGGCGATTATCCAACCTCCACGTGGGTAATTTTTTTTTTTTTCCTCCACAAACAGCACTCCGTTAATTGGAGCAAGTATAATATATATATCAATCATTAAAAACCAACTCTGTCGGAAGAATTAATAAATATTTATTCATTGCGGAAGGCCATTCGGACGCACACTGTAACGCTGACACAGCGAATAATAAGTATCAATAATAATATTATCTCGAAAAACCACTGGGTTCAGCGATTTTTCGTTGTTGTTCCACGTGATGTGTATTATAAAATTACTCGATTGGCGTTGAAATTTTTACTAGAAAAACTTTGTCAAAACAACCGTAGATGAGATGTTCACACCGGCGAGAAGCGCCTCCTGATTATCCTCTAATTCATACGATTGAGCTCGTGCCAACATCTCGTCATTTCTTGGCAAACGCACAATATTACACGCGCGTATAAATATACATAAAGACAACAAATGTTAAAAAAAATCGACTCGACGTTGTTACTTTCAGCTACTCCTCCATGCGCCGTCACAGCAGATGGGGAGAGAAAAAAAAAAAAAACAGCCGTCGCACCGTAAAGTCTCTTTGGCAGCTTTTTCCTCCTCTATGTATATATACACTGTATAGTATACTTCCGAGTGCCAATATATACTTATAGACTCGGACTGTCGCGACGATCTCGCGCACCGGCCGGCGAAAGCGAGAGGCCCGCGGTGATCGCGATGTTCTATATAGGCTCATTGTGTTCGAGGAAGCGAAAGGCCGCGTCGACGACAGGTTGCAGCGCTGCAGAAATGAAAGATACATCAGAGACAGGTTTTTTTTTTACTATTCTCCCCACCTGCTCGCTTCCTACTTTTCCTCTCTCTCTCTCTCTCTTTGTCGCACGCGCATTACTTGTATACCCATGTATAGCGCAGATACAGTGATCTCGTGTGTGTAACAACGGTGCAGTGTATATACAGCACGCTTTTGTTACAACACAGGCGGAGATAGAGAGAACGGAATTAATTAGGCGCGCTGTTGTTTGTTTTTTCAAGCGGGCGAGATTCGCTTTCTTTGAGCGCGAGGCGAACCAGCTAATTGTTCTCTCCCAGGCGTGCGTGTGTTGGTGGTGGAGGCCCATCATCAGGAAGCGCGAGCTATTGCACAATATATTATACATTATAGCTGATGCGCCGTTGCCACGGGGTGTTGTTGGGCGACGAGTACAATGTGTCGTTAAATCGCCGAATCTCTATAAAATATGTTTGTTCTTCCCTCCCCCGCCCCCTCCCTGTTTTGGATTACTTTGCAACGTGCGTGACAAAATAATGAAAAAAAATAAAAATAAAAATAAAAATAAAATTGTGTTTACCTAAACGTCACGATTTACTATTGCTCATTGTCGATGATAACTTCTCTCGACGTCGGTCCACTGTCAATGATGAATCTTTAGTCTTCCCCCCCCCTCCCTAACCTTTCAATGACAAATAAACAATTGTTATTATTAACACGTTGTTTTTTATTTCTTTCGGTTAATCCATCCGGTGAAAGTTCAACTAGTCCGTGATACTTTCAGAAAAAAATTATGATCCGGAGCATCAAAGCTTGGAAGAAAAAAAACAAAGGTGGCCGATTCCGGGTTTCCAGAAAGTCAAAGGCGAGCGGCAGATTTAATATCGGAAACCTCAGAGAGAAGCGGCGGTGTCTCGCCCGTCCTGTGAGTAATTGAAAACGGCTGTTGCGGTCGCCGGGTCTTATCGACTTGCGGTTCGTGAACGGCGCCGATTGTTGTTGCCTCTACCTTTATCTTTTTCTCGTAGCTTCTTCCTTTTTTTTTTTTTTTTTTTTTTCATACGCGGTTGAGGCGATATGATTCATTTAGAGTGATAAGACGGAGGAATAACCAAAAATGACCGAAACTGTGCTTTCCCAGCATGTAAAATTCATTCGCAGGGAAAAAATAAACAGTTTCGTGGCATTTCCAAACATAAAAAAAAAATTAAAAAAAATCGGTCGCGTCGTCAATGCAAATAAGTATAAAGTACAGGGTATATGTAGCGCACGCAATAACAAGAGCGCGCGGTGTCACATTTTACGGTTGACGTTCTCCTTTTACACAAGGAGTTGCTACCGATCGACGAGGATCGGTTACGAGTTTTGTCAACTACGGCGACAATGTTGCCCTGTTTGGAAAAATAAGTGCGCGGCGTTTTCAACTTTGCTTCATTGTTTGACTTGAAAGTCAATTGGGTAGATTCATATACATGTATTATTTCGACTTTGTGACGATTTTATCGCGAAACAAAATCAAACGTGGCAATTAAAAATGTGTATTATCAAGGGACCGAGTGCAAACACAAAAAACAAATACATACCAACAGAGTACGTATATACATGATGATGTACACACACACACGCGAGCGATGAACATTATTGTCCGCGAATCGATTCTCGCCACGTGTGACTTTTATAAATGTTCAAAGGCCAATACATTAAAAAACCTCTTATCGATCGGCTGAGAGAAAAAAAAAATTTTTGTCAGAACGATAAGGAAAATATTAGTAAAACCCCAAGGTTAATCACGCAACCACCAAGTACATGTACATATGGCAAGCGCGTAGGTAATGAAAAGATTTTCAAATAAAAGACACATCCCCACCGGGTTACCCCAGGCCCGCAAAATCATCAGCTGGTCACAGCCTGCCTTTCGGTCGGCGTTTCAAAAGGGCATATGGTAATATATAGGTGACTCCAGACGACTCAACTGCAGCCGGCTCTAAAAAAAGCCAGCAAGCGGTGCATACTACACGAGCGTATAATATATCTGCATGAACGCACAGTGATGTCTATCTCTTTCGCCGAATGCTTGTATACCGCGCGGTGCGCCTCTTCGTTGTGTATCAATGCAAGCGAGAAAAAAGAGGAATGCGAAAAGAAATACGTCGGTTTTTTTTTATTTTGGGATAAAAGGATAAAGGCTGCTGGGTGTTTTTTCAGGCTTTGGGGAAATAGTGAGATGCCAAGTGGGTTGATACAGGGCGTGTAAGTGACCATTTGGGTTACAAAGCAATTAATTAAATTTTTTTTTTTTTTTAGTCATAGTGACTACACCTTAGAGCCAAGCATGTTCGCTTTTTTTTTTTTTTATCGTTATATAAGTGACGTGCTCTGTTTGATTATCGGCGATGATCACTGTATCGTGCCGAAGAATGCTTATACATATATTTAATGAAAAACGCGGCGACGCCTTGTCTGCACTTCACGCACATGTCGTTAAAAATCCATTAAATACCTTATTCGCTCTGTTATCTACTCTGTTACACGTACGAGTATGATATATGATATTCCAGGAACGAGTATCGCTATAAATTTGAGGATGAGCTAATTTTTTTTTTTTTTATTACTACGGTCAACCTCAGTTTAATGAAACCATACAGGTCCCCGCCCCGTGCTCTGCGATCAATCACTCGGGCCTAATGGGGGAAAAAAAAAAAAAATTGAAATGAAGTAAAGTTAAACCTCACCCTTTTTCACCGGCTTTGGGTCCTTCGAGTCCTTCGGCTCGGCTTTTAGGCCATTTTTTTCACTGGCTATGAGGTTCTCGCTCGCTTGCTTTTTCGACTTCATCTTTTCCTCCCTCTCCGGAAAATTCTCCAAAGCCAGAGATTTTTGTCTTTTCTTTCCTTCTTTTCCGTCCAAAAAAAAAAAAAAAATCGATGACAACAACACTCGGGCGCGTGTACGCGAACAAACACACAACACACACTCTATATATATATAGCTGATGGAGGGCACAGAGCGTCCCGACGACGCGATCGATTGCGTAAGGTTTTCAGGTCGCCGTTGGCCGTCGCGCCGCCGCCGACAACGACTGCTGCTAAGATACTATCCGTGCACTGCTATACCACTCCCGGCTGCCGGCTGGTTTCGTCTCTCTTTCCCTCCTCCTCCGCGGCTCAGCTGTACGGCTCTACACGCGTGCGACTCCTCTTTTTTTTTTTTTTTTTTTTTTTTCCACCACCCTCTTGTTATATTGGGGAACGGCTATACAAAGAGAAGTACAGTTGTTGACGATATTTACTGCTTTGTTTTTTCATTCATTGGTTTTTTTGTGTGGGAGTTGATGCGATGAAGCGTAAGTAATATTTTTCGTTTGGCTACATTAGGTTCTCGAATGACAATTATTGATTCCTAGCTTAAAAGCGATAGTGGCCCCGTACTTTTGCCGATCGGCACCTTATCGGCCAATAAAATTTCTCCGCTCACCGGTACTTCATTCGATTTACTGTACATTTAGAAATACAGGACACGTATATACTTTACACCAAAGGAAAAAAGAAGTTACAACATCATCTCTAAGATTTTTTTTTTTTTTTTTTTTACAGCGACAAAACTCGTTTTCTCGATGTGTTTCATGCTAATTTCATATTAGATAACCACCGCGCGAAAACGTCGGAGTCACCTGATACTTTTTCTTTTTTTTTATTATACATATAAAATCGAGGTGTGTACTTGCAAACAGTACCAAAAAATATGTCTGTACGAGAATAAATATATATTTTTACTGAAGCCAAAGAACAATCGACTATTCGTCACCGAAAACCTTCCTTATCGCGTTTTGTTTCGCCGCACCAACTCCCAAAACTTATTTAATATGAAAAAAAAAAAAAAAAACTCATCCCGCGAAAGATAAAATCCACCGAACGGATTGTATACTCCCGCAGGGGCTCACACACTTTTTTGTACACACACACTAGTTTGTAGTAAAAATAAAATTTTTTTTAGAAAAAACAGTGTAAAACAAGCAAACGAGTAAATAAAAAAAACCTACACAACACCGACAATCCCGTCGCGCGTACAAATGCGTCGACGTGCCCCGAACGACTGGCTTCTCTCTCCTACGTGCTGGCTCCACCCGGGCGTCCATCTATACCCCCCACAACCTCCCACATCGGCCCCCTACCATAACACTACCACAACGCCCGTACACGCAAATATGTTAAGTATATATTACGTGCACGTAGACGAGAAGAACAGCTTATTCGCACGCGCGCAAATATCCATCATGTATATATTACCATTCCTCTCTCTCTCTCTTTTAAACGTGACGTCATCAGCATACATACCGCGCGTCGAGGCATTTAGATTGGCATGTATGGGGGGGGGGGCATTAAGTATTTCGCCAATGTGCGCAAGTGTATACAATACTCGTGGAGCTTTCTTTCCCCTATGCGAACAACGCGCCGGGCAAATATATCGGTCACAGCTGATTGCGAAGAAAAAAAGGATCGTTTATCACGGGAGGTGCAGAGCAAAACATTGATGGCTACACTGACGGAAAAAAATAATAATAATGATTACTCATAGGGAAATTCCAACGAAAATCACCATTCCGCGCAGTTAATCGGACGCAAGGTGGAAAAAAAAGGGAAAAGTTATTATTTTTCACAGCTAAGATTGTTGTTTTGATAGTTAAAATTATGGCAAGAACGGTAAAAATTACCTCGAAAATTACTATATGCTGGAACAGTCAATCTTAAAAGGATCGGTTGATAAATTTTACTTTCCCGTATAGAAATTTTTACTCTTCGAACTATATAATTTTATCCGTTGAAACAACAATCTTTATTGTTAAAAGTAATAACTTTTTTCCTTTTTACCAACTTGCATTCGATTTCCTGTACGGAATGGTAATTTTTGCTGGAATTTCTCCATAATTTTTATTATTTTTTTCTCTCAGTGTATCTCGCATCGAGCAACACTATACTGTGCATCCTATAAAGGGCGTGTAGACAAGAAAAAAATAAAAAATAAAAAAATGATGCGCTAATACAATAGAAGAGGCAGTTGTATAGTCGAGAGAATATTATAACATGGATGATGCACGCCAGCATAAATTATGCCGGCTAGAGAGACGAAGTGATACTATTACGGCTGACATTGGTTCTTCCTTTTCGTTATACGAGGAAGCCAATTGTGTACAAGCATGGGAGGCGGCCCTCCTCTGCTGTAACTGGAAGTTTTCTTTTTCCGAATAGAGGTACTTACGGATAATAAATACTTGTGTATACCTATACGCCGTTGGAGTTGAAAATAACGAGGTACGTTGGAAAATCTTGCGGCTACTTTCCTTTCCCCGTTGATGCGTGTATATACTGTATTCACGGGTACTTTGATTTCCTTATTTTTGAAGGAATCGAGAAAGAAAAAAAATGAACCCAAGTAACTGCTCGGCGAGTCATTATACGTATATTTATATTACAAAATAATACATTTCCATGACAATGAAGTGACGGCGGTGGGAAACTTTACCTTATTCTTTATTAATTTTCATTGAATGTTCATCCCTGCGATCAAGGATTACGATGCGCGTTCGAACCAAACAGAAAAGATCAAGGCAACGCGCCAACGTGTGACGTGTTTTGTTGTCCATAGCGCCCCGTATCGCGTGAGTTTTTTTTTCACCGTCAAAAGTTCCTGTACTCCGTACAATACGTATGTGTGTCCACACCGGTGCTGTCGGCAGCTCGTCTTTATTTTTCTCGCGCGTATAACGGAGCGCAACCTTGATCGTCGTTGTTTGCCAGAGCAACCAGCAGACCGAGAGAAGGGCCGGGCTCCAAACAAAGGCGCGATATGTGTAACGATTTTTCGATCTTTCGGACTATCGGAAGTTGCTTTTTTGCTTCAAACGCCAAAATAGTATACAAGAGGTGGTTTACGCAATAATATTTTGAGCTGAAACGGAATTTTTCTTTTTTTTTTTTTTAGCACGGCATCGTTACACGTCTGTGTGGAAGGAGTGTGTACTATAGTCTGTCGCTCGTTGGCGGAGGTCATAATTACACGTACATGCTTTTTTCAAGAGATCGTGCTGATAATTAGACGTACAACCAGAGCTCGTGTGACCGGGAAACGTGTGTTTATTACGACGTTACAGTCAAGGCAACGGGGGACAAAAAAAAAATAACACGTCTACGTTTTTCCTGAAATTCAGACTCAAGCGTTGTTTTTTTTTCTACTACTTAAATCCAAAGCCTCGTCGTATAAAACCCAACGCAGATGCATATTATGTACTGCGCGAACGTATATATAAAAGTCAAACCACAAGTCACGGGCTATCGCACCGCGAGTCTGTGCAGGTATATATACCTTGTACACCAAGAATCGATCCTCCCGTGCCTTGTTTCTCTCGTGTTTCTCCATGGGCGCCTTTTTCCGCTCGAATAGCTCTCTCGCACGCGCTCTTCTGCGGTCTCGTCCGCGTCGTTAATCGTCCCGCGGAAGAAAAAACCACGAAACAACAAAAAAACGACTAAACTTTCTGTTGGTGCATCATCGAGGGGAAAAAAAAAAAAGAAAGGAGATGGATTTTTTATGAGAGAGTGTGAGTAGCGAAACGATAACGTTGTGCGATAAAGAGACAGGGAGGCACGCGCCCGTCCAGGTATTAATTTTATATCGGAGATAAGGTCGAAGCGGAGGAGAAAGAGATGTTTGCGCAAAAAAAATATATATATATAGGTAAGCGCGACGCGTAAGTATATATAGTGGATACAGGTTTATCTCGCGTTGCTTGTCGCTACAGCCAGAGAGAGAAAAAGAGAAAGAGAAGAAACGACGAGATTTTTCGTACCTACTGAAAAAAACCAGAGCTATATATTTTTTTTGTACACACGCGCGATGGCGTTTGCAAAAAAAAAAAAAAAGAAAAAAAAAAGAAGGAGAGCAAGTAGGTTGGGTCTCTCATTTTGAGAGCACACGCGCGCGCTTGATAAAGCTTAGAATCTGGATATATACGTGTACTGTGTGACAATGACCTTTGTACTTTGGTTTGAAACGACACACGCTCAAGTTAACGAGAACGAAACTTTTATTTGATGTGTCAAATATTACACATTTTTATCGTTTTGTTAACCACATTTTTACCGAATGTATATTGCACACTATTTCTAAGAAAATAAACGCGATTGTTGCTTAATGCGTATATACATAATAGAGTTGCTATAAAGCTGAAATAAATTTGATTATCTGTAAATTTAATTTGTTGAACAGAACGACTCACAACTAAATTTGAATATCCATTTAAATGTGTGCAGTGAAAAAAAACAAAAAAAAAAAAAAAATAACGTAAATCAGTCGGTGACAAAAAAAAAGGTGATTTCGTGCTCGTGCAAAGTGTCATCGTGCATGTACATTCACCTACTACAGATGTGGGAAAACCACCCACTGCCGTGTACCTGTGAAAAAATCAATTTGCATGTGTCACTGCTTCTTCTCTCATTCAACTATACCACATTATAACCCTCTCTCTCTAGTGCGTGGTGTATAATATATACACATGGTCGCGTGGGCGGATGGAGCGTTCGATGACACTCTTCCGCTCCATAAGCATTGCCATCCGCGAGTAAGCTTACGTAACCCGGCGCACAGCGGCTCGAGCTTATAAACATATCACGCGACGCGTACCCCCCCCCTCCCCCCCCGCGCCTCTCATGTGTATGAGCTTCTTCTTCTTCTTCTTTGTCGAGAGCTTTATGTCTCTGTTGGTGCGCGCAAGTGTATACCTATACATACACCCGAGGTGCGCACACTCATACAAGCTTCCTCTCTGTAAAATAAAAATAAAGGAGCTTGCACCTGTTCTCGGATTATCCGCGTAGGGACAGCTTTTAATAGAGTCGCGAGCACTGGTTCTTTTTTTTTTTTTTTTGTATTTATGTTGTTTATTTTTTTAAACTTGGAATCCAATTTCTTTTCTTTTATTTTCGAGTGTATAGGTGTGTGGGTATATATTTAGAAGGGCGTCAACGGGACACGTTCACAAGAAAACGTCAGGAATTCTTTGCGCGGGTGGATTAAAAAAAACATTTCTTCATTCCGAGCTACCACGGAGACTCGGGGATTTTTGTCTCTAGAAGAGGATGTTTTTTTTTCTTCCATATTTTTTTTTAATTAAAAATACATACAGTTTTCAACTATAATTTTTGCGCAACTTGGTTTGTCGTTGAAAAAAAAAAAAAAAAAAAAAAAAAATGCATTATTCCAAGCTAAAATTTAATAAAAATTATCATTCTCAGCCACCTGTACTAAACATCAAATCACGAAAACTTGAGATAGCTCGATCGTCGTATACGATACACACACGATGGATGTCGATCTCATTTCATTAGACGATGAAAAAAAAAAAAAAAAAAAAAAAACTGTGTCACGCAAACAAACAAACACACCCATAAAAACTCGAGTCCATTATCATTGTCATTTAAGCCCCGAGAGGGAGCGAGGGATGAGTCCAGAGCAAAGTAACAATGACATATCGGCACTCGGAATTCATTCAATGAGCCCGTGCACCCGTGGGGGGAACTTAATCGGAATCGTGCAAATAAATTGGACGATTATTCAATCAGTGGTACATCGTTCATTACCATATATGTATACATGTACACCCTTCGAAGACACCGATCAAATTCATCATCGATCCACTAGTAGATTACATTCGATTGACGAATCATTCGCAAATAATAATAAAAACGGCAACGGAACAAAAAAAAAAAAAATGTGCAACAACAAGTAAGTATAGAAGAAGAACAAGGGATAAATCAGCAATTTCTAAATCCAGTTCCTTTGACGTCGTCCGCATTTAGATCCCATTAATAGCGTAATGTACGACTTCCCCGAACTATTCTCGCAAACACGGAACCATATAACTCGAGGGGGGGGGGACTCAGGGAGTCAGGCGACACTCATACTCACCGTTGTTTTCGTGGCCGTTTCCCTTTCGAGACAAGGAGTACTCCGAAATTTTACAACGCGCTGCAGTTAGTATAACAAATACTCCCCCGAAAAAAAAGTGCACCTCCACCATCGCCGAGACGT